AGAGTACAAGTCTGTACTCATTCTTGGGAGTGATTCTAATGTAATAGTGCAGTGCTGTACAACCATGTTACTGTTTGTGTGACTATCCTGGAACCACCATGGACATGCAAATGGCAGTAATTGTACCAAAACCCAATAATTTTAGCCGCTGTAGCTGCGATAACATTCTAATCACTGTTCTTATTACTCTCAATCTGGCCATTGTTTAACAAATGATTTAAGTCAACTGAACCAAAATCTACAGAAATATTCTGAGCTCAGTACATCTTGTCTGAAGGTGATATGGCATCAACCTCAAAAACATAAAATATCATCTTATCACAGCTTTGTGCTGACACATGCTTCCCAAGCCACAGATACTTAGGAACAATAGGATAATCCAAGGGATTCAATTCCCAGCTCTTTCACATTTATGTGTGACGCCACATAATACACACTCAAACCGAAGCTGGATTTTGTTTAAACTGCATCTGGCCCCAAACAACCTTGTCTGCAAAGTAACCAGGCGACAGGGCTGAAGTGGACTCCACCAACATAGTCTGAATGTGATGGAATTAAGGGGTTTAAGACTTCATATAACAAATAGAAGCGAGGAAAGTTAATTTGATACAGACGTGGTGGGTGGTATAATTATGCAAACCACCAGGTTGTGCGAACACCCAAAGGCTGGGTTAGAAATGAATTCATCCATCAGTTTCATCCATAATCATAGATTTCACAGCTCATCATGGATATGTCCCAGATTGACTTCTCAACAGCAGGATTTCATGGTGCCTGGTTAATAATAATAATCCTTGTATTTGATAAAGGTCTTATCACGTCTTCGAGACGTCTCAAAGCGTTTCACTGAATATACTGTAAAGTGAATTGACTGTATATTTTGTGGACGAAACGTGGCAGTCAATTACACACAGCAGTGTCCCACAAACAGTCGTGGATTGAAGTTATCAATTTATTATTATTATCTTTTTGAAGGGATTATTACACCCGCAAAAGCGATCTGACAATCGACGAACAACCAGATTCCTACTTACCGCTAGATAAACAGGAGGGCATGGAGTAAAGAAACTTGCTGAACATTTCGCCCCACCGGGAATCAACCCAGGTCTCTCACTTGCGAGGCGAGTGCTCTAACCACTGATGTGCGAAGCAAAACATTTCTCCAAAGCCTGAAGCCATTTTGACATGTCAGTGTCAGCCTGGCTCAGTTGGTGGCACTCTTGTCTCTGAGTCAGAAGGTTATGGGTTCAAGTCCCACATGTTAAGGCTTTGAGCTCAGTCTAGGCTGATGCACCAAAGTAGTGCTGGAGGAGTCGGAGAGACCATCCATTGGATGGGGTGTCAAACAATGATCCCGCCTCCTGTTCAAGTGTACGTTGAACATCCAGTAGCATTCACGATCAACAATTGGGCATTCACTTCATGGCTGTGCGTGGGACATTGCTGTGCATCAATTGTGCATCAGCTGCCATGTCTGTCGACAAATAAACAGTTAATTGTTTACTTGGCTCCACGGCTCCCCAACCCTCAGAGGATAGAATTCAAAATCCTCGTCCTCACTTTCAAGGCCCTCCATGGCCTTGTCCCCTCCTACATCTCTGACCTGCTGACCCCCATCAACTTGTCCACACCCTTCGCTCAGTAGGCTCTGGCCTGTTCCAGGCCTCCAGCCCGAACCACCCTACCAGCGGCAGTCGGGCCTTCAGCCTTTCTGCCCCCATCCTTTGGAACTGCACCCCACAATCGCTTCACCGTGCTCCCTCTCTTACCTCCTTCAAGGCACGACTCAAGACCCTCCTTTTTGACCTTGCCTTCAGCCGCTCTCCTACCCCCTCGGCCCTCCCTCATCCCAACCCTCTCATCCCACGCTCGGGTCCTGGTCTCTGACTATTCAGCGCCTTGGGACGTCCTCCCAACATGAAAGGTGCTTTTACAAATGTAATTTTGTTGTTGTTGTTACCATACATTACAGTAAATCCTTTGAGATGCTTCAGCAAAGTGATAAGACGCTATATCAAATGCAAGGATTTTAATTACTTTCATTACTCTTCTGCAGATTTGAAAGGTTTAGTTCTTTCAGGTTATTTTTTTTTGGTCAGCCAGGTGTCTGATAGATGCAGAAACCTATCACCATGCTTAAGAGAATCCAAATCAGATAAGAGGTCCACTTATGCATGCCAAACTACAAATGGAAATTTCCATGTTTGGAATGAACACTCTCTCCCGAGAGGGACATATACGACCTACCTAATTCTAGAGAGTATTAGGCACAGGTTGAGCTAAAGATTTGGGAACCCCAGAGAGTGCGTTGGAGTACTGCTGGAGATTAACCAGCTAAAACTGCATAATACTTATATTTGGTACACTTTGTTTTGGTATAGTGCCAGGTGGATGTCTGAAAGCTATTTTACAGGAGTTACTATAAAGTGGTGTGACTGCGTATTTTGTGGACGAACGCAACAACCAGTTTCCACACAACAGTGTCCCACAAACAACCATGAAGTGAATGACCAATTTTATTTTGGTGATTGTTAGCCAGAGCACCGAAAGAAACTCTCATCTCTTTCCAAATGTTTCATGGGATATTTAATGCACACCTGAACAGATGGATGGGGCCTTAACTATAACAACAACTTGCATTTGTATAGTGCCCTTCACAGAGCGTAGCATCCAGGAGCACTTCACAGTGGGGAAGTCTGACAGCGAGCGAGGGGAGAGGGAGGGAGGAGGTGACCATAAGCATGATCAAAAAGGAAGGTCTTCAGGTGGGATTTGAAAATGGGGAGTGAGAGGGCGAGGCAGAGGATTGAGGGAGAATGTTCCAGAGTTTTGGGGCATAGTGGCTGAAGGCACGGTCACTGGTGGTGAAGCAGAGGGCACAGGGACAAATAGGAGGCCGGAGCCAGCCAAGTGGAGGCAGCATGTGGTGGAAGGGGGGGTAAGCAGGTTGAATAGGTGCAAGGGAATGAAATGATTTTAAAACGAGTGAGAGGATCTTGAAATCCATCCTTTTGATCATTGGGAGCCAGTGAAGTTTGGCAAGGACTGGTGTGATGGGGTACGGCGTTTTGTGCTGCTGAGCATCCGTGCGGCGGAGTTTTTAATTAATTTGGATTTTGTGTATGGTGGAACTGGGGAGACCAGTGAGGAGGGCATTAGAATAGTGCAGCCGGAAGCGACTTAGATGTATGTGGACGAGGGTTTCAGCAGCGTCGGTTGTGAGGTATGGACGGAGGCGGGCAATGTGCCGGAAATGGGAAAAAAGCGGTCCTGGTCAGGCCAAGGATGTGTAGTAGAAAGGAAAACTGGGTATCAAACCTGACGCCTAAGTTGCACACAGGTTTGGAAAGTATGAGAGAGAACCTGGGGAGATTGAGGAGTTCAAGCCTGGAGGAGAGAAGACATAGACGGGAGCCAAAGAGTATGGCTTCCAACTTGCCGTCATTCAGCAGCAGGAAATTTGCACTCATTCAGGCCTTGATGCATATCACAGCTGGAGGAGAAGTAGATTTAGGTAGTCATCCACGTACATGTGGAAGTTTACCCCAGGTCTGCAGATGACATCACCAAGAAGGAGCACACAGATGAGGAAAAGAAGGGGACCAAGGATGGAGCCCTGGGGTACCCCGCAGGTGACCGGCCCGGGGTCAAGAGGAGAAACCATTTGCCAAGATGAAGTTCTGGCAGTTAATTAAGTAGGTCTAAAACCATGTGAGAGCAGTCCCACTAAGGAGGAGAGGGAGGAGAGGCAGTGGAGGAGGATGGTATGGTTGACTGAGTCAACTGCAGTGGAGAGGTCCAGGAGGACAAGGAGGCAGAGGGAGCCCTGGACACACAGAGAGAGGACGTCATTTGTTACTTTGATGAGTGCTGTCTCTGTGGTCTGGGCAGGGCGGAAACCAGACTTGAGGGGGTCGAGTAAGAAGTGGAGGGAGAGGTGTGAACGAAGTTGATTTGCGACAGCGCGTTCCAGGGCTTTGGCCAGAAAAGGCAGGTTTGAAATGGGATGGCAGTTTGTGAGGTTGAAGAGATCGAGAGTGGTTTTTTTTTAATGAGGGGAGTGATGCCAGCTGTTTTGAATGGGAGAGGGACTAATTTATCATGTCTGACAGCAGTGGGCAGAGGAGGGGTAGCTTGGTGACCAGCAGCTGGGTGAGGAAGGGGTCGAGGTAGCAAGTGGTGGGTTTCATCCTGGTGATAGAGGGAGGAAGGAAAGATGGGGGCAAAGTAGTGTAGGTTTGGGCTCATGGTAGGAGCTACGGGAGGAGTGGGTGATGGAGAAGGAATGTTGGGCGGTGGAAGGGGACATGGGGCAGGAGGAAGATGCGGCCAGTCGGATGTCATCTATCTTGGAGATAAAGAAATCCAAGACCTCTTCATACTTGGAACTTGATCTGAGGATTGAGGGTGCTTAATGGGGTGCATGGAGGAGGTGATGGGTGGTGGAGAAAAGGATTTGGGAGTTGTTTTGGGCCTTTAACACTTCGTACAAAAGATAGCACCTTTGACAGCATAGCACATCCCTAGCACTCACTGAACTGCAAGTATCAGCCCAGACAATACAAGTTCCAAGTCCTGACATAGTCTTTGAATGAATAGACAACCTTCTGAGATTGCTGCCAATTGAACCAGGCTGATACACATATAGTTTATAGTCTCACAGTTCCATAGTCTTTCTTCGACATGGAAACCCTTCAACCCTGGAAAAATCCTAGTGGATTTGCACCACAAATTTTTTCTATTACTTTCCCATCCTTTCCTTATAATCTTACTTAGTCCAATAAAGATCTTGTATAAATCCCTCACATTTTTTCTACAAAGATACCTGCTATCTTTCAGAGGAAGATTGTTCTTTGAAAATCATGTTAAACATAAATTTTCAATTCGTCCTAACACCAAGCAATATGCATAATCACATTTTGATTCTCTGAAGTCACATAGTCCAATAAACCTACAACTAAAGCTGCACAGTGGGGAGTATTAAGTTTTGTCAGTTTTACCTTTCAGGCGGTGGCTCAGGACTTGCTCCAGGATAGCTGCAAAGTTTGTAAATTCAAAACACGTGTCATCGATGGTCTCAAAGCAGGAACGATCAATTAATGTCTTCACAGAGAACCTGCGGAAGATAAAAAGTAATATGCTAAGGTCTAAACTTCAAATAATAATCCTTGCATTTGATATAGCGCCTCATCGCGTCTTCGAGACATCTCAAAGCTCATCACACAACACACTATAAAGCGAATTTTGTGGGCGAAACACTATAAATCAAATTGCAAGAAACAAAAGAAAAACAAATGCAACAAAGAAGTCAAAATGACTAAAAGAGAAAAAAATATTCAGGGCAAAACATAGCATATAATATTATCACTGGTATTTCCTCCCTTCTCCATTGAGTCCATTACCACACCTCCTGCACCACAAACATTGTTCTTTTCACAAGAGCAGGGACAGGAAATATTATTTGAAAAGAGTAGGGAGTTTCTTCCAGTGCCCTGGCCAACAATCCTCGAAATCAAGATCCTCACCCTCACCTACAAGGCCATTCACGGCCTCGCTCCCTCCTACCTCTCCGACCTACTATCCCCCTACCTACCTGCCCGTACCCTCCGTTCCTCTGGCTCCGGTCTGCTCCACATCCCCCGCCCCAACCGCCCTACCATCGGTGGCCGGGCCTTCAGCCTCTTAGCCCCTAGACTCTGGAACTCTATCCCCCAGTGCCTTCGCCGCCTCCTCCCTTTCCTCCTTCAAGGCCGGTCTCAAGACCTTTCTCTTTGACCGTGCCTTCAGCTCCCCTCTCGACTCTCTACCCTCTCCTCGCTCCCTCCCTTCCCTCCCCTCACCCTGACCATTTCCCCCCTGCTCGGGTCATGACCCAACTGTACAGCGCCTTGGGACGTCCTCCCGACGTGAAAGGCGCTCAATAAATGGAATCTTGTTGTTGTTGTTGTTGTTGTTGTTCCTCCAAATAAAATTGGCCACTCACATCATGGCTATTTGTGGGATATTCCTGTGGGCAAATTGGTGGCAAATGTTTGCCAACAAAATGCACAATCACTACACTTTACGGTATATTCTGTGAAATACGTTGTTATCATTAATATTATTACTTGTAGATGTCTTCCTGATGCGAAAAGCACTATATCAAATGAAAGGTTTATTATGATTATTATTTTTTGTGGATTTCACAATTTTGAACAGGCAGGTACACCAGAACAGTTTGTTGTAGACATTTTTATAGTTTTCCTCTCCTCACTTCTGATGTTAGGAAGGGTTTGATTTCATAGACACCGGCCACAATCCAGTACATCAACCAAGAGGTTTTTCTTCAAATAAGGCTCAGATAATAAAGAGTCAACAGACTAGATAATTACACAACACATCACCGATAAGGATGATCTTGTCCTTAATCGGCACCCACATATGCAGACATCACAGCGTTACTGGATAGACATCAGGTGAGGGACCTGAATAATGAATTTTTCCTTCCTAGACTTTTGTGCCATATTAAATGTGAAATGAATAAAAAATAAATCCCCATAATTTTTAAGCTAATCAAAGATCAAACCATTGTGAGGAAATGAACATTCCTTTTGATGGCCTGAAATGTACAATCTACAATCTAAATTATAACAAAAAGTATAGATTTTGGAGATCTCACAAGGCAGAAACAATTTAGAATACAAGAGGCAGTCAAAATCAAAATACAATCTTGTGACAAATCAGGCAGCAATGTACAGGTTGGAAATAGACTTGAGAGGATTTAACAAAAATCCTTTATGGTATTCAGAGAGTTCTGCAAAGGACTTGACAGGAAAATACAGAGGAATGCAGAATTAGATGCACGGTTGAATAGGGAGAAGGAAAACATAGGAGAGTCTTGAAGATGCGTTAAAGTTTGGCAAAACAGATAGGACACACATGACTACACTACACTACAACAAAACTTATTTTTATAGGCACATTTGAAGGAGAATTTAATTTAACTCAGACTGCAGAAGCCATTGCAACGGTGTTGAAAGCAAACGCCCAGTAAATCTCACACATTCAGTGATTTTGTTAAGATAATGAAACTCTTCTCCAATTTCCACAAATAAATGGAAATTTCAGAAAAGCTCAAATAAAGGTTTATGTTGGAAGCAGAGCCCATTGGGAGCGTCAGAGATTACATACCTTGCATATTAAATTGAGCAATAGATCACATGTGAACCAAGAAATAAGAAAAGAGCAGCTCTAGCATCAAGTTAGACCTTAAGATGTTATTTTATTGTTCATCTAAAGAACAGGAGGAAGTTGTGACTGCTGCCTGCATTTGGAAACTGTTTTTAAAAAAACTCCCATTCATAGTTTATACATTCTCGTTGGTGGTGGAAGCCTTGGTTACACTTTATGGCAATAAATTAGATGGTACAGTAAATACCAGATAATCATAGCATTTGATAATAGCACCTTTCATTTCAGGAGGATGTCTCAAAACGCTTCACAAGCATACTGTAAAGTGTAATGATTATATATTTTGTAGGTGAACCAATTTGCGCCCACAATGTCCCACAACCAGCTGGGAAGTGAATAAACCGTTCTCACCTGCAAATTATTGACCAGGCTACCAGGAGAAACTCCCTTCTCTTTTCAAGTACTGTAGTGACATGAGATCATTAATATCCACCTGAACTGGCAGAGTAGTCGAAGAGTTGAAGATATTCTCTTCAAATTGTTTTCTGGAGGCTAGCGTTACTGAATCTCTAGGTAAAGGGTTGACACCACTGAGTAGACTGTCAGAGGCACAATATACTATGGAAGCCTCTTTAGCCGGATGCCAGTTAACCCCGGACACCAGGTAAATCGGACAAAATGCCCGGCCCCAATGTGTCCATCTTAACCTGCTTCCACTGTAATTGGTTCCTGGTGGTTACACTTCAGCCTTTTCTTGTATTAGGATTTTGAATAATTCACATAAGCAGGCAGGAAGAAAGAAAGAGCAAACTTGGATTTCCGTTGTACTTTATCACGGTGAAATGTTTCAATGTGCTTTGCAAATAATAACTGTCAATTGTTCCCACCGTTCTTGTAGGCAAATGTAGCAGACATTTGTACCACAAGATCTAACACATAGCCATAAGATGAATGGCCAATTAATCTGGAGGACTGTTGGTCTAACCATGTGAAAATTCTCTACTCTTTTTTGACATGATATTCTATGTTTATGTTTACTAGATTACACTCCCAAAGCTATGGGATTTTAGTTGGTTAAACTCCAGCAGTACACCAGCACATTCTCTGGGGGGCCCAAGCCTTGTCTCTTGCCAAACTAAATACACAGTTACTACACTTTACAGTAAATCCAGTGAAGCATATGGAATATCTTTGTACTTCCTCTGGTCCATTTGCAAAGTCCAGGATCAAGCAGTGACGGTGGATCTGAGGCAAACACAGGAATCAGCGGCACGGCGGGCGGGCTCCTGCCTACACTGACCTGCTGGCAGAGTCGGCTTCATAGCTGGTACATCCATTGCTAAGGCCCGTCACATGAAGACCTGGATTGAGCAGCTGGTGCTGTGACAGACTGATACACAGCATTGGACTTGGACCTCGAGAACATCAAGGTGGCTGGCACATCACAAGCTGTTCTGTAAAGGTCCTCCCACTATGCTGAAGGCAGATGCTGAAGGAAACTGAGTCTTGTATTCTTGTATTCTAAAATGCTACATTAATAGAGCAAGTCTCGACCCAAGTGTAATATCTCCCCACAAGTGTTAAGTTGATTCGTAGGGAGTCTTAAAGATCGCACTCGATTCACAGCCATCTGTTCTTACATACATCAATATAATGTAATCTGTAATAATAATCCTTCTATTTGATATAGCATCTGATCACATGGTCGAAATGTCTCAAGGTGCTTCACAGGATTCATTGTAAAGTGTAGTAACTATTTGTTAAGAGACCTGCGTTTAATTCCTGGCAGCGCAAAACATTGGGCAAGTTTCCTTACTCCACACATACCTCTTTTTACCTAGCAATAAGTAGGGATCCGGTTGTTAGTCGACAGGCGAATCACTTTTCCGGGGATAATAATCCCTTCCAATAAATAAATAATAATTTAGTCACTCAATCTACAATTATTTGTGGGACACTGCTGTGCGCAATTGGCTGCCCCGTTTCGTCCACAACATATAGTCAATTCACTTTACAGTATATCCTGTGAAGTGCTTTGAGATGTCTCAAAGACATGATAAGGCGCTATATCAAATGCAAGGATTATTATTATTATTTGTAAAAATGATAATAATAATCCTTGCATTTGATATCGCACTTTTCACATCTTCGAGATGTCCCGAAGCGCTTCACAGAATATACTGTAAAATGAATTTACTTGTATATTTGTGGACAAAACGGGGCAGCCAATTGCGCACAGCAGTGTCCCACAGATTAATTGTAAACTGAATGTATTTTGTTTGCGAATGTGGCAGAACAATTTCCGCAGAGCAATTTGTAGGCGAATGTATGATAGTTCCTTGGGAATATATATATTTTTTCCCCAGCGAGGTTGTATTAACACACACAGAAACCCACTGCCATGCTTAAGAGTATTCAAACCAGAGTTCAACGCATCCCACCTACACATGGAAATTCACGTGTATTGAAATTGAATGCACGTTCTCTTGCTGTGGGACTAATCACACATATGCAGACAGATGGGCTACAGAGCGCAATCATTTTCTAACAGGCGGTCTCAAAATAACTCACAATTGTAATAGTAAAAAGCCCTCAGCAAGTCTACTTGAGGAAGGAGTGGGTAAACAGATGTTTTTCAGCATTCCAGGCAGGTGTGAGAATATTAATGTTCAGCAACTGAATAGATTTTGCAACAAACCAACCAACGATTAACTCCAATACCATTTTATAAATATTAAGTGATAAGAACAACAACAAAACAACAACAAAAACAACAACAAAATTACATTTGTATGGTGCCTTTCACATTGGGAGGACGTCCCAAAGCTTGGACAGTCAGTGTTTCAGACCCGAGCTGGGGGTCAGAATTGGGGAGGGTGGAGAGCAGGAGGGGGAGCAGGGTGATCGAAAGCACAGTCGAAAAGGAGGGTCTTGAAATGGGTCTTGAAGGTGGCAAGGGAGGGGGCGAGGTGGA